GCTTTTAGCCCCATCAAACAAAATTCGGGGACCGCCCAGACTTCGGCCGAATAGTCACTACACTCGGCGCAAAGTAATTCTGGGAAAAATGAGCCAACCGATTGAAATCAGTTTCTTGTAAGAATATGTTTCCCAACTATATAGTCGCCTGAGATCATGAATATGTTTGCCCGAGCGAGTCAGAGGCTGCCATTCAAACCGAGGCGACATAGAGAAACTAACTGATTTACGTGCTCCCCGAGTCTTATAGGCGGGCCCTAATGCAGAGTCGCGCCCACCTCAAAATTTTGTTAATAGGGTATGTTCATGTTATTTTCGAGAAGTTTTCTGTTATTTTTTCAAATCATTGCATTAATTTTACGAGTGCTATCGTCTATCACGTAATACAGAAGACAATAACGTAAGATTACCGTTACACATCTGAGGGCATTTATACGTTAAAATATGTCATACGGAATAATGTATAAATGAAAAACTTATTGAATGATGTGACTGTATATTGCATATCCTGCACTGCACTTAACTCGCCGCCCACCCTGACCACCTCCTCCACCCTGACCACCTCCTCCACCCTGACCACCTCCTCCACCCTGACCACCTCCTCTCCCCTCAACAATGTTTTCGCCGGCTGTGACCAAAGATAAAAAAATTTTAATTGCCGCGCCTTGAGTGTGCAAAATGCGGGCCGGCGAACGCACGACGTCGAGCTCAGCGAATTGTGCTTGGGCAGAACAAAAGCGCGATAACTTCGGTTCTGCGACCATAATGTTCATATTAAACGTTGAGAGCCTGATGTTCATTTTAAACGTTATGCGACCGTTATTTTCATGTTAAACGTTATGTGACTGTTATGTTCATGGCAAACGTTATGCGACCGTTATTTTCATGTTAAACGTTATGTGACTGTTATTTTCATGGTGAACGTTTTGCGACCGTCATTTTCATGGTGAACGTTATGCGACTGTTACGTTCATGTTAAGCGCTATGCGACCGTTATACGAGCGTTTTGTATGCACGGTTATGCGCTGTTGTGAGGAATGCATACGATAATCAGTCCATATCGATACGCCTGGAATGACGCATGGCACCCATGGGTGGCATGACGCATGGCGCCCATGGGTGGCATGACGCATGGCGCCCATGGGTGGCATGATGCATGGCGCCAATGGGTGGCATGACGCATGGCGCCCATGGGTGGCATGACGCATGGCGCCCATGGGTGACATGACGCATGGCGCCCATGGGTGGCATGTCGCATGGCGCCCATGGGTGGCATGACGCATGGCGCCCATGGGTGGCATGACGCATGGCGCCCATGGGTGGCATGACGCATGGCGCCCATGGGTGGCATGACGCATGGCGCCCATGGGTGGCATGACGCATGGCGCCCATGGGTGGCATGACGCATGGCGCCCATGGGTGGCATGACGCATGGCGCCCATGGGTGGCATGACGCATGGCGCCCATGGGTGGCATGACGCATGGCGCCCATGGGTGGCATGACGCATGGCGCCCATGGGTGGCATGACGCATGGCGCCCATGGGTGGCATGACGCATGGCGCCCATGGGTGGCATGACGCATGGCGCCCATGGGTGGCATGACGCATGGCGCCCATGGGTGGCATGACGCATGGCGCCCATGGGTGGCATGACGCATGGCGCCCATGGGTGGCATGACGCATGGCGCCCATGGGTGGCATGACGCATGGCGCCCATGGGTGGCATGACGCATGGCGCCCATGGGTGGCATGACGCATGGCGCCCATGGGTGGCATGACGCATGGCGCCCATGGGTGGCATGACGCATGGCGCCCATGGGTGGCATGACGCATGGCGCCCATGGGTGGCATGACGCATGGCGCCCATGGGTGGCATGACGCATGGCGCCCATGGGTGGCATGACGCATGGCGCCCATGGGTGGCATGACGCATGGCGCCCATGGGTNCGTGCACGACGCGTCACTGCCGTGCACGACGCGTCACTGCCGTGCACGACGCGTCACTGCCGTGCACGACGCGTCACTGCCGTGCACGACGCGTCACTGCCGTGCCCGGCGCGTCACTGCCGTGCCCGGCGCGTCACTGCCGTGCACGACGCGTCACTGCCGTGCACGACGCGTCACTGTCGTGCACGACGCGTCACTGCCGTGCACGGCGCGTCACTGCCGTGCAAGACGCGTCACTGCCGTGCACGACGCGTCACTGCCGTGCACGACGCGTCACTGCCGTGCACGACGCGTCACTGCCGTGCACGGCGCGTCATATGAACGCTGTCTATTGATGCTGTCAAGCTCTGTATGGCGCTTGCATAGCCACTAATACACGCCAGTCCTGTGTACCAGCTGTGTGGCGTGCACCAGCTGTGTGGTGTGCACCAGCTGTGTGGTGTGTACCAGCTGTGTGGTGTGTACCAGCTGTGTGGCGTGCACCAGCTGTGTGGCGCGCACCAGCTGTGTGGCGTGTACCAGCTGTGTGGTGTGTACCAGCTGTGTGGTGTGCACCAGCTGTGTGGCGTGCACCAGCTGTGTGGCGTGTACCAGCTGTGTGGTGTGTACCAGCTGTGTGGTGTGCACCAGCTGTGTGGTGTGCACCAGCTGTGTGGTGTGCACCAGCTGTGTGGTGTGCACCAGCTGTGTGGTGTGCACCAGCTGTGTGGTGT